GGGTCCTGGCGGCCCTGCCAGGCGACACGGGTCCGCACACCGTCCAGTCCCGCTCCATTTCCAAGGGCTGACGTGGCGGGAAGTAGAAAAGACGACCGGGAATTCGGGAGCAGAATGCTGTCAAAACCCGATGGAGACGTTGGCACAAGCAGCAAGCGGATTCACAGACAAAGGAAAACAATGCGAGTCTCCTTAGATCATTTTTCTGGACATTATTTAAGGTCTGAAAGGGACCAAATCGTTTCAAAATGTTGCCAGTAAAAATTATCCTATGTGGAATGCAACTAATCCTTTTAGGTTCCTGTCAAGTGCTTCCACAAAAGGAATCCGATTTTTCAAATCAAAGATCCAAATGTCTTTGGGGAGAGATTTATTACATGCCAGAGCTTTAGTTACAAAATAGAGTTACAATAACAACCCGCACCCACCAACTCCCTAAAACAAGGGATCCTATCCCACAGGATTCTAAAGACCAGTGAGAGCCGGTTTGCTGAGTCCTGCTGTGTACGCAGATTGGGAGGGCGAGGATAGGGGTGGCAGGCAAAGAAATATTAAATTCCTTAAACAGAAAAACAGTGCAGAGGGCCTCAGCATTTTATTTTTGTCCTCTGTACCCCTGCTTGCTTTTAAAGAAGAAAAGAAGATCCAAACTTGGGGATTTGAACTCAGTCCCTTGTCAATGACAACTCAAAGGGAAGGTTAATGCTTGAACTGAATTCAGGAAAACCTGGGTGCCTGTGCACCCCAGTGGTCCGAAACCTAGGCTCTCTGACAGGGTTTGCAAGTTGCATATCAGAGTTTCTGTAAGTGGGAGAATATTTATTTACAGCTGTATTAAATGATACAATAAAAGCACTCTATTTTTAATTTTGATTTTTAATAAAATGTTTGTGTGGGGAAACGTGAACTGGGGTTTTATGTCGTGTCTCTGTATTTAACTTCTCACAAACCCTCGTGAAAAGCTGAGCAGGCTACAGTCTTAGGGCACAGTAGTCCAGGAGGGCCTGATCACAAAAATCACTTCACCTTCTCAAGAGCTAGCAGCTCGGGACACAAAGTGATCTACTAGTAAAAAGACTTGGAAACTCAGATTCATAGTTCCTATCTGAAAGAGTTTGACACTGAGTTACCTCCGCATCCCCACAGGCACTTAGGTGTTTTAGGTGTTTTGTGAGTACACTTGCCACACCAGAAAGTTATTGTCAAGAAGATATTATCAGACCAACAAATTTTTTGAAAATGAAAAATTTACAGACCAACAAACTTTTTGAAAATGAAAAATTAACAATCAGACATCTCAATAATAAAATGAAATGTTAAGGAAAATGCTTCAAAGGGGAGGTGAAACAAATGACCTTCATAGCTCCTCTCCAGCCCACTGCTTCCTGGTAAAACGGCTTATTCCTCCCTTCCCCAAGCGAGCGCTTCTGTTATGAAAGGCAGTATGATGGCAGGAACTCTTTACCGGTGGAATATAACTCCTATATTTAACATTGGAATAAAAAGACTTACAATATAGCAGGTGCTCAATAAATAGTGCAGACTAATCCCACTTTTCAAAGCTTAAGGGTTAAAGAGATGATCAGTAGATAAGTAAGTAGAAGAAAAAAACAGAGCAAGAGATTAGAAGAATGGATTTAAAACTCCGTTAGTTTGTTTATTTTAGAAGTTATCAGACCAAATACACATCTGGCTCAAGTGAGAGAAAACAGTGCTATCTCTTTT